TTTTACCATGGATGTATTAATACCATTTTTCAATTTTTTATATATTCTTTATATATATATATATATATATATATATATATTATATATGCTTTATATATATTTTTTATATATATGCTTTATATATTCTATATTTTTCTAATATAATTATATTTTCTAAATACTGTCTGTATTTTTACAGACACTTTATTTAATTAGCTGCATAAAAACTATCGATATCGATAACTATGGTTTGACAGCATAAACTTTAAACTTTGTTGGCATTTCTGTTCAATAAGGTTTGGGCAATTTATCATGAATCCTTTAACGCTAGGACAATGTTTCCAAATTGTGGAAATTTATAAGAAAACCGTTTTGAATGTACAAATCCTTGTAATAATGGATAGAAAAGAAAAGGTCAAGATAACATCAGCCAGAGGCATTTATAAAGCTAAAAGTCTACTCAAAGCTTATGTTGGAGATATCGTCGAGTATGTTAAAGAAGGGGCCTTCATGAACTTAAGCCAAGTTTTGTTTAAGCCTGGACATAGACACAGCAGGTATTCTGGTGTCCTTTCTTCGAGAGCTAGTAGACACGCATAACAGGAGATACCACAGGGTAGGCCAAGCCTTGCTCTATGCCGCCCTGTGGTTCAGTGCCCTGTAAAGCCAGATATGCAGAAAACGTACTTTTATATAAAATATTTATTTTTATTTAATTTTTATCATTCCACAAGTGATGTGAATTCCTATCACATTACTTCAAGTGTAATAAAAATTTATTAACAATTTTTAAAATTAATATTCTTATAGTAAAATAATTAAGCAATACTTTCTTTGCACTGAAATTTTATTAACAGAAAAATTAGTAACTAAAAATGACATCACAGCTATTTTCTGAGCTAAAAGCTGCTACAATCGGTGATAATAAAAATAAAAATATTTTTATTGGACAAGTTGCAATTAATACAATTTCAATTATTATTGAGATGTTGTCACTGCAAATTTATCATAATTTCCTATCATTACAAAGTGCAATTGATGCAATTGATTTGATGTAATTTTCTGACAAGTGTGAGAAGCGCTTCGTATGCAACTCCCACTCAACAAATGAGAATTTAATGAATCTAAACGACTGAATGACGTTACTAAAAATTGCTACTTTAAGCGCCACTCAGATATATTTTCAATTGTTTATTTAACTGCAATTATTTAATAAATATTTGTGTTTTTATTCATAAACATGAATGTTGTTTTTATTTTTGAATTCAATCATAGAATATACATAAATTCAATCACAAACCATTACAATGGTACGAAAACCGCGAATACTCGTTTGAAGTCAAGTTTAAGATTATGGATCATGGATGTATCTATATGAATATAGTAAACCATTGTCATCAAAAGAATTCATTCAATATAGCTATAAACATAATCGAAACAAATTAATGAATGAAATGCAACTCAATATTTTTTATGAATTAAATAGTTATGTTGTATACTTCACGTTTACATGAGCTTGTGTATAATAATATTAATAGAAAAAATATTTCTTGAAATATTTCCATATTATCAAGAATTCGTAATTGAAATGTTAAATATCCCTATGATATTGAAGGAAAAATTTCTCTGCTATTAGCAGAACTATAAAGAAGAAGAAATAGAACTGCTGCTACTATTTCAATTTTTACCACAATTTGGAGAGTTTATGGGACGATTCCCAAAAATTAGATTTAAACACAGTAATACCACCCAATAATGGGTTCTTGAACATGTAGAAATTCAGCAAATTAAGCAAACCGTTAAATTTGCTAGAAAATAATCTCTATATTCAACAATAAAACTTCAATTACTTTTAAAGTACGGTTCAATATAGAGTATCGATTAGAGGTTAAGATTAGGAGTATAGAAAGTAGTGCTATAAGGCCAATAAGGAAAAAAGAAAGTCATAGTCTTAAATGTTTGAAACAATTTAGATTACTTTTAGGCAACTATAACACCAGAACCGGAGTATAGATAATAAATATTGATATGGAGTGTAAATGACGACTATTAATGAGGATTGTAGTTGAGGAATATAGAAAATAGTGCTAAAGAACCAATAAAGAGAAAAGGAAATCATAGTCTTACTTGTTAAAAACAATATAGATTACTTTTAGGCAACTATAATAGTGAAACCGGAGAATTGATGAGTAGTATAGATGAAGAGTATAGAAAATAGTGCTAAAGAACCAATAAGGAAATAAAAGCTCATAGCCTTACATGTAAAAAACAATTTAGATTACTTTTAAGCAACTATAACAGCCAAAAATATAAACTAGGCTTTGCTTATAGAAGAATAAATTAAGAACGATGGCCCGTAACTCAGTTCAATATATCGTTACAGATTATGATATGAGGTAATTGAATCACCAAAGGACATGCAGCAACAAAATGATGCATTGATATACAAAATTCAAAAACATTGGAGCTCGTAGTTTGTGTCTTCATAGACAAGAAACGTCTATATTGAGTAATTATATGATACTTCCAATCTTTATCAACCAATCTTTAGGATTTATAAAAAGGTTAACATTACTTAAACCGTAAATATCAGTCATACTGTAAATCCTTTTCCGATTGATTGTTTGCAAAAATGAAGAAGTCTGAGAGAATGAAATATGTGCATAGAAAGTATTTTAAGATGTCGCCGTCCTCCAAACTAAGAGAACATAATCTATTGTAAGAAGAAAAGGGGTGTTTGAAAAGATATTATTATAGAATTCTTATAGAGGTTACCATAATACATCTTTCAACCACTGTACTCTACTTATCTCATATTAATGTTACACATTTTCTTCTATTATAAAACATTTTTTAGATATTTACATTGTATAAATTCCCGTTACTTTTTAAACAAAATATATTAATACTACCGATCAAATTAATGCCATATCAAATTGACACAATAAATAAAAAAAAATTAATTTTTTACTAATGTTTTTAACAATTACTTTTATAATATAAGTTTATAATGTTACTATTCATGTTATTAAAGACGCATATTCGGTTTTGTATATGTTGTAAATATATTTTAAATAATATATAGAAAACTTAAACAAATTAACTGAAAATTTAAATATTTTGTGTAATTACGATTTAACAACCAACACAGAAAGAAAAACATCTTTTCTGGCACCTCTTAATATCCTGGCTTTGCTTAATCTGAAAAACAAGAAAAGGATTAATTAGTTCTTATTTTACAACCAACACAAGTGGAATATTATTATGCTATAAGTTTAGTTGATCTAATAGTATAGAGTATATACTACACATAATAGAGAGGATTAATATGCTTACAAGTGATATCGGAAACAGGGACATTTAATAACGGATTATAAAGATTGTCCAGACGTTTGGTAATTTGGCAGTTGTATTCTTATAAGTACTCAATGTAAACATTTACGGTTTAGAATACATATACCATATATAGTATCATATTATATTA